AATTGAGTTCATTGGTAGAACAATTGAATGGGGAGGGGGTGGAAGCCATTGAGGGCAATCATGAATGTCAGGGACAATGGAGGAGGAAGATGGGACATGGCAGAGGGTGGGGATGGGGAACCTAGGATGGCAAAACAAAAGGTAAGGTATGCAGGACACAAAAATTGGGAAATCATTTGCTGAGAACCAGCTGTCATTATGCTGAAGGTTTATTTTCAGAGCCCTCATGCTGCAGATGTGCTATCTGACATTTCTTATAGAACCTTTTAGGTAAAAGAAGTTCAAAAATCAGGGTCAGTAATCCAAGTAACCAAGTGCCTTATCTTGATTTGCTTCAAAACATGAATATATCAGAAATAGAGGGCAGGATGTTAATGAGAAATAGATATGGTTTATTACCTGTTGATGATGACATGTATAGTATTCTCAACTGAACCGGTCTGGGAAATATTTCATGATGGGTGAAGTCTCTTTAATAAGCAAAATGAGAAATAGTGATTGACTGTTTAAAAAAATTATAATAATAATTATTGGGAAAAGCATGGAAAAGATATTGAATGATAAAGCGGGGAGATTGATATCTCTGTATTGACTGACATGCATGGCATTCCCTTTTGAAAAAGCAATGGAAGTCAATGTAAAGTTATATGTGGTGAAAAAAAAAAAAGATTATAGGAAAAAAAAAAAAAAAAAAAAAAAAAAAAAAGATAGGTCAGAGAATAGCAGAGTTCTCCTAGCTCTGTCTGCTTCCTAACTCATTGCAAAGTATGGGATGACTTTCAGAAACAGGCACCCAAATGATATGCATTATGTAATACATATTAAAGCTGGTGGGAATCAAGCACCTGATCTGGGAAGAAAAAGGTGTACCTTGGCAACAGCAGATGGCGTAAGGGTTATGTCATTGGACTCCCATGTAGTTAACCACAGTTCGAGTCCCAGACCCTGTGGCTTAAACTCATGCCAGGGGATGTGTATGTGTGTGCCTAAGATCCCGAGAGGAGAAAGGAGGAGAAGGGATTGCGGCGTGGCCATCTCCCTGGGGGGTGATTTCTCACTTTCTGTCTCTCTGTCTCTGTGTCTTTCTGGCAAGCACACACACCCTACAGCAAAAACCTCTCAAAAACAAACAAACAAACAAACAAACAAAAACTCACACCAGCTGCATGTGTACATACCCAAAATCCAGAGAGAAGACTGGAGAGAAGGGATTGCAGTGTGGTCATTCGCCCTGTGGCGTGATTTCTTGCTTTCTGTCTTTCTGTCTCTCTCTGTCTCTCTGACAAGCACACACGCCGTATAGCAAAAACCTCTCTTAAAAAAAAAAAGAAAGAAAGAAAGAAAGAAAGAAAGAAAGAAAGAAAGAAAGTAAGAAAGAAAGAAGAAGGTGTCCCTGTGAGTCTCAGCCGTGAAATGACCCCCTTCCTTTAGCTGAGTAATACAATTGCATCTGCCCCCATTTTCAGGTCTAATAGAGGATCCCCCAGGAATAATGACAAACTATGAAAGCATCTTACTTTGTGAGGAAGCCAGATTCCAATGATCTAGATACATTGGTACAGCCATT